TCGCATTTGCAGTTACGATTGCACACAGTTATTTTTACAGTAACATCTTAAAGTCCTTTTTTTCTTTTTTGCAAAAGGTACAACATATAATAAACTTGTGTTGTAAGGTATAGGAACCTGGCGAACCTAATTCAAGCCCCGACCAGGGCGCCCCTGGCGGCAAACGGGTCAGTTTCATCGGGAAGCTCCTGCCAGTTGCTGCTTTGGTTGTGCTTTGTAGCGGGTTAGCGCCGTAATTTCTGAGATGGCAATTACGCACCAGAAAAAGCCACGGTTGCAACAGTACGTACAATAACGCGCACGGCACGAATTTTTGCGGCTTCCCTTCGAGTCGTATGAGGCGGGGCGCCGCGCGACCGAGGTGCGACTTATGCGTCGAAGCAAGCAAGTGGCGCTTCTCACCCTACAGTTCGCGTTTTTCTTTGAGCTGCTGACGAATAACCCAATTAACGTTTCCTAGCGAGGATGGAACAACATGGACACGTACGGCAAACTCTAAAATTTTCAGCAAACATTTTACTGGAATCGAGAAGCCGAACACTGTCGCCCACCCAAGCTACAACCCACCCTTGGATGTTTCCATCAGCCTACAGGAAAAGAGTAGAGCTAGGAATCGAGGAACGGCTCGAAAACAATCACCCGGTTGTTGTCAAGCTGATTCAGAAAGCAATAACCGTACATCGTTAGCGCAGTCCACTCAACACCAACTAAGATATACCTACGCGAAGCTTGACGTTTTTTGCGGGAGCGCTCAATTTCGTCTGCGGCGCGCCGTGACATCCACGTGCCCGTCGAAACGGACCTCCTTCACGTCGCACACGTGGCCAGATTAGTGAAGGAGTTTTCCCTTTGTCTTATTGGCACCATGGAAGTACTTCCCGAATTCGTAACCGCCATAAATCCCGTCGTAATCTAAGACGGGGACACTGTTCCCTGTGCTGTTAGTCGCCATTAGTTTTCGATGATTCTGCGCCGGCTACCGCTAGGTGGCGGCGAGCAATAGGCGACCGCCGCGACGAGGCCGGGTCACCAGCTTCCTGTTATACTTATAAAATGCTTCAGACGAATGGTATCTTTTATCAAACGACAAAACCCACGTTCCAATGTTCGCAGTGCTACGGATTCGCTTTGGAATTCCATAATAAGATCTAAACCATGAAATCTAAACCCAAAGAAACGTGAAGGCTCTGTTTCTCGAGTCATTCTATAGTTTGATTAGTTTCGTAAACGTTTGTGGTTATATAGCGACACAAAACACCGTTATTCTTTTTTAATCGATTGGTGAACCGCTCCGAGCAACAATTCGGTTCAAATTCTAGCAGGAAATCGATTAAAAAGTTTGATCAGGCAAAAACGCAGGGACATTTTGTTTTTATAGTTCACTGTTTTATATTTTAAGCGGAAAGGGAACTTAAACCTTTGCCGTATGTTTTTGTTTCCACGAAATACTGTTAGACCACTATCCCAAGTGCGTCGTTATAAACTTTTGTTTTCTGGCAATAAGGGCTAAAACAAACTCTAAGACCGACCTACGAGATAATGGCAGTATAAAATTACGCCGCCTTATTCGTTAATGGCGTTTTGTTTGGGGTTTCTTCAGACTTTAATGTGTTTTTTTTTATTTTAAAAGTTGAAAATACATCGGTGTATCCTGTATTGTCCGAGTCAACACGGCTGCAGAACTTTACTAAATCTGGTCCTCGCGAACCACGTCCGATCTGGTTTTACGTTAAAGACTATTACATAAGCCACTATTAACATAAATAATTAGTTTAGAATCAGTAAACCACTGTGCTCTAAAATATTTGCCAGATAAAAAGAGAGCAATGGTTATTGACAATATACTATAGGCACATGCTCCGGCATGTGGTCTTGTTACCCCGTGGCGAATACGAATAACGAACGCGTAGGCAATACAGATAAATCACATCCACGGATTTTACTAAACCTTTCGACTGTGAAAGTAGTCAATTAACGTTCCGACTAATCAATGAATGCATTCATTACTGAATTTGTCTTATTAGATTGATTATTTTATCAAGAGTATATATGCATGACTGTCACGGCTGCCGTCTTTGTCGTTGTCGAACTACACATGAATACTTTCCCGGACGTCACATTCTCCAGATCGTCACATTTGCTAGGAACCTACATAACCTCAAATTGCTGTCCCACTTTGAAATAATAAAAAAAACTTTGATTCTAAATGGCACATATCTCACCATGTTTTTCAATTACCTTCATAACACTTAGCAGCTGTCTACTTGACGTCATGTGCATAAGTATACATAGATTTAACTGTACTCTACCTCTAAAGTGCTTCGTTCAATTTATTGATTCATTTTTTAAGCTATGCGGTTAACACGTTGTTAAGCGTTACGTCTATTCAGTGACTCACTCGTGTGCCTCTCGTCTGAAACAGTTGCTCAGGTTCTGCATATTTCTCTTATTAAGAAAGAGTCGCGTAAAACGAATGTGACCTCTAGCTCCCATACTGGAGCCCATGCCACAAGCACGAGAGAGCTCGATGTCGCTGCTTTGAATCTGCGTGTGCTCTATATTGGGTAAATTGATATGTATGCTTTCCATGTGTTTTCATAATATTATATTTTTTTTTGCATGATGTTTGTTAATATTTTCACTGTTCTGTTTTTATTGTATACTGTTGAATTTCACCCCTCATTTGTGCCTCACAAGCGCTCCTTTGGAGCGCTTGTGAGGCACAAACAAATGAAGTGAAATGAAACGAAATTAACGAGCACTCGCGCTAGAAATGCATGTCTCAAAGCCAGGAGCGCGGCTAGCTCGCGCGTTAAGCTTTGGCTGCTGTCTCAGCTTAAGGTGGAATTATTAACTCTTTGCCCGAGTGTGCCTTTTGTTTTTTCCCAGCTTAGGTTATCAACCCATGGCATTTGTATATACGCTAAGCACAAAACAAAAAGAATGATTACAGTAAGATGTATTGCTCCTGCATAGCTATAAAACTCCCAGCACATGTCATCTCTAAACCTAAAATGTAGTTTTTTTAATATCTCGCGGCGTTAACAATTCCATCAGTCTTCTTGTTAAGCTGATTAGCTTTTTAATTACTTAAATAACGGTCAGCGATAACTTTCTTAAAACATTTTAGTCGGTTTAAAGCCCTGCTAAAATGTAGCTTAATCATTTTAGTTCCTCTTCATTAATAGAACGGGCGTATTATTAATCAAACACAAATTTTATCAGTCACTAGTCTGCTAGAAAATTCCGTGATGTTCAAGTGATAAACTTGCGTTTTGAATACAAAATATCACCTTCCTAAGTTCCTATCATATTGGGGATGGCCAAGTTTCAAATAAGAAATTAAAAAAGTGAAACCTTTTACAAGATACCGATATTTATAATTATAAACATCACCCCAACTTCGCAAAATTGTCATTGTTGGACTGCAATTCAGAAGAGCCGTAGTCAGCTGGCTTCATCTTCACGAAATATATTAATGATAACATTTTAGAACTACTACAAACGCAAGTTCCGAACGCGGTTCTTCGTGCAATTTCCAGCACACCGATGACTATAGCCAGACATCACCCCCAACTTCGCAAAACTGTCGTCAGCCCGCTTGAATCCAGAAGAGTCGCGCTCATCTCCCTTCACCTTGTCGGGATATATTGATGATAACATTTTATAACTACCACAAACGCGAACGGCGAACTCTGTGCTCGGCGCAATCTCCTGCGGAATCTCTGGCGGTTTCAATGTCGTGCCGTCAAAGGTTGGACGTTAGCCGGCTCATTGTCCCGGAGCCATTAAATGACCAAGGGTTCGGAGCCGGCCGTAACCTCGGTCTTTCACGAAAGGGCAGATTACATACAGGCGACCTGCTTTGATCAAGTCTGATTCGTCCGTCAAGATGGCGCGGCACAGCCCCTTACAAACGGCGGCGTTTTTGTAGAAAAAAGTATATGTCGAATAGGGTAGCTTCATTGCACGTAATCGCGAGTAATATGGTCGTGCTTCTTGAAAAAATACACGGACAGGGATATATACACGACGCTTCGGGCGGACGCCCTTCTTCACGTAATAGACGATAGAAGAAGGGCGTCCGCCCGAAACTTCGTATATAAATCCCTGTCCACGTATTTGTTCGAGACGCACAACCATATATTACTTGCGATTACGTGTTTTGGCTCATTGTGCTCGGCAGCACCCCGATTCTCTTGGCAGCTTCATTAAAGTCGGTATCACGTGGTTCGGTTTTTACGGCTTTCCTTTTTTAGTGGACCAGGTGTCAGCGGATCTTATGAAGCGTTCAACGTTTGCTCTCTCTTTCTCTCTCTTTCTCAAACTATTCAAGCTCGATTGAACGTGCAGTGGAGTAGAACACTTTGACGCAGGCAAAGAGAAGAAGAAATGGACGAATTGTGAACTTGCATCACACGTACACAACGAATGAGACGATCCGTTCACGGTGATAGGCCTTCCGCGCTGTGTACACGAAAAGCCTGTCACTGTGACAACCGCAGGGAGCTTGGTAAATGTCGACGATCTAAGAAACGTTGGATCTAAAAACACAATGTGGTTTGTTCTGGGACTCTGAGCACGTGGAACGTCGTGGTGAGTGTCCCGGAACAAACGTTGTTTGGCCAGCCTTGTTTCTGGACCTGGGATCAGTCAATCGCTTGTCAACGGGATTGGCTCTACGCGCGATGTGCTGGCGATTAGACGCGAGGGCAAGTTTGGGGGCGTTTTGTGCGTCTGTGTACCCAAATCAGGAGCTGCATCTGGATTCTTTTACAATGAGCGGGAGATTCGGTTGCTATTGTAATTAATTTTGTAATCTTTGAGCAAAAGGACTGCATATCAATTTGAATTAACGTGTGCGCTTACATGGTTGGTTACATGGTCAGCATTGGCACAGCGATTTCATACTGAAACATTGAAACCTTGATTATAGAGCATTCTGCACATGTTTTACTCTATTGTTCATTTTTAATTGTTCCATTTGGATGAATTCGAAGCACTGACATGAGAGCGGGCTGTCAACATTGCGGAGCGGAACGAACAACGCATGCTTTGAGATGAAACGGAAAGCCAAACTGAAAAAGGTACGTAATTTTTTTGTTGTCTTACTTCTTCAGACAGCGTTCGTAAAAGGCTGGTGTTAAATGCAAAAGTGCCCGACAACATCTGAAAGACAAATTTTGAGCCTGAGTTTGAAAAACAAAATATCTTATGTCAATGTGACCTCTTCTCTTCTTGACTTTCTCACTAAGAATGTCTTGATCATGTGGTCTATTTTGAGGATTTTCGGGGGTGGTGTGTTGATTTGACGTAAGTCGTTCATGTTGAAGACCATAAGGAAGCTTTTGAGCATGTAGGCATGGTGGTTGGTTTTGAATGTTCAGCACCCTCTATCTGTTTAAACAAATATAAATCTAACTTAATATATTGAGCTAAAAAAAGAAGAAATAATCATATCTTCTCCTTAAAATTGAGAAAACTTGCCCCTAAATGAAAGCGTTGACAGAAATATGATATACATCTGAGTAAGCGTAACGCGCCGTGTGAAACTTTTACAAACAAGTGTTTCTTCTCGATTTCCTGTTGGAAGCAAGCTTTGTTTCAAACAAAGATGAAAAAAATGCTAGAGTCCTGGGCCATTACTTGCGACAGTATTTGAATATAAAAATCTTGCTCGTACTTGATGATGTTTTAAATTAAAATTTCGGGGGCCTAAGGGTAAACAACCTGAATGCCTTAAATTTTCAGATGCTTTTCAGACTTTTACCAGGGACGTACAAGTTCAGAACAACGAGGTACCTTGTCGTCTTGCTTTCCGCCTTTGCTCTTTTCTCCGTCTACTTGAGTAACCACCTCGCATCGCTTCTGAAGAGTGTCAGATACGAGACGAATCGGCAGGGTAAGTATATGCACCTCACACAAGTTTGCTCACTCAAAGGTCTCAACCGCTTTGCTAAGAGCATGTGTTTCTGCCAGGCGAAGCCGAAGAACCCTCCAAATTCAGAAATACGAAGGTTAAGCATTCTTTTAAAAAAATAAAATAAAATAAAAGACTAAATTTTACCACTCGCTATCTGTCAACCTTAGTGCGACGACGAGCTTTTTTTTTTAGTGATATGCAATACAGTTTCATTCAAAGTCTTTACATAAACCATAAGTCGCATGGAGCCACTACGAGGAAGAAAACCTTGGTATGAAGTAATTCTGTAATACCTCCTTAAGCAAGAAGTGACTTCTTGTTTTATTATCATAAATGCTATAATTTGCCCGTTGTCTCTTGCAAACACCAAGATTTCTGAGTCCAGGATAGAATTGTACAAACATTGTTTGACCGAATACATATTTTCTGAGGAGACGAAAGGCATAATCCTAAACGTTATATAGACTTGAAAAAACGGTGCTGGTAGAGATCTAAATTAACTACATAACAAACATCTTTTTTCGCCTCTGTCGGTTGCGCGTTTTTTTCTTCTTTGCTCTACCGCAAACAGCTTTTTCAGATTACCATAAATAAACAAAGAGTGAATATTGAAACTTCATTTTAATTCCCCCCGGCGTGGTGATTACGTTTTTTGGACAGACATCTGGAATGTTGCTGGTTTATTGCGCGCTGTATCACCAATTTGTAAGAATGAACTCACTCGCCCTCACCGCTAGTTTGGAATGCACTTGTATCCTTTCCCATATAAATCAGCTTGACTTCACAATTTCGCCAAAGTTAAATTTAAAAAAAAATACTTTATTAAGTTCTGGTTCTATGTTGGTCATTTTCAATATTATTGAAGTATATAAAATACATCAAAATTCATTTTAGATTTCTTTTTGAAGGCACAACAACTGTCTTCAGTTGGCATCATAGTAGCAAATCTCGTGGTCCTGATTAAATTTACAAGCGTTCTTTATTGTTTCCAACCCAGTCGGAACAAGGCAAGCATCATTGTACACCAACATGTCGAGTACGATTCCAAACGGTGTCGGTGTCGACCAGGAATTTTTGAAGACCAGTCGAGTTTTGCTAGACGTTCTCCTTGGAGTAAGTACGTAGTTCAGTGTTTTTATGTGATCTATTTTTTTTTTGCTATTACATAGTACTACTTATAACCGCGGTAGTAAACATTTGACTTTTATAAGACCCACCCTCAAACGAAAAAGTTCAAATACAAAAATAAAAGTTAACATTGTGATTGAAATAACTATAACGTAATGTGAATATTAGTTTGCCTGCATAATTGCTTGGAAAGAGCACCGCAAGAAAATAGGTTTGTTTGAGCCTCATATGTCTTCTGAGTGTATCTAAATGAATCGTGGATTTTTGTATCTTGAATGTTAAAGATCTCAAACAAAAATAATGAAGCAGTATTGCCATCGTTTGACCCGGATATACACTCCTATAACGATCAACATTTAGCTATATATATATATATATATATATATATATATTTATATTTTGTTTTTTTTTTGTTTTGGGGGGGTGGGGGGAGGGGGTTAAGGTACAAAAGATGGCGTGAGGCACCTTAAGAAAGCTCCCTAATAAGTGTTCGGTACTAGAAACAAGGTGGAACGGATTGCGCAACACTGCTCCACGTAGAAACAACGAGGTAGTTACTTGTGTTTTCAATTAAACAGTTTTGGTCATTTTAATTTCTTTGATACAAAAATATGACCTTTTATTAGATCAAGTCAATACTTAAAAAAAATATCTAGCAATAATGAGTGTATCTTCGGAACATCGAAAATGTCGATTCTTTATGTCAGAACTACGTTTACTGCGTTGAACGTGTAAAGAAAATAATTAAAATAAATTTTTCATCGCATTACGGTGTTGAAAAATACAAGACATTGTAGAATAAGCTCACAGGCGAATGAAGACGAATTTTAACATTCGGCTAAGTAGCTTTCCACAGAGAGTTCCAGATTTCCATAAAAAAAAAAACAAGAAAAAAAAACAATATTTTAATTATTTTATTTAGCAACATTTTTTTTTTTTTCAGATTGAGGAGGATCAGCTGTCGAGGTCGAGGTTCGACACGGTAGTGATATCAGGAAACGATTCAGATGTGCGATTGCTTTTCAAGAAAACGCTCGAAGCGCAAGGGTACAAGGTTATCCAAACCTCTTCAACTAACGCACTTGCCACGGGTGAGAAAATTGTTTGCTCTCTATAGTTGACAAACAAAAAAGAAGTATATGACAAGTAATTTTGTCGCATTCATTGGTTCTCCTATCTAGGTCGAAAAATCTAATTAATTTTGCGTTCAAGAAAATTTTCTTTTATCTTATAAACCTAATATCTTTAGCGCATAGTTGTTTTCCTATACAATAAATAGATGTGGCAAATACATTGTTATGTATATTTTTTACTGATGGTCCTTTTATACGAATGAATTACACTTTTTGCATACATGCCGTTTTTATAGTTCTTTTTTTTTTTTTGGTGGTCGCATGAGTTATATTTTATGTCCATAATTTGTAATCGGCGGATACTTTCAGAATGACAAAATAAATGAACAGACATGTATGTCGATAAACAAATAAATAAGCAACGAGACAATGGCACATGTACACGTGATACTTTTTTATCAATAAATTGAGGAAGGCCTGCTTCTTTCCTCGCTAAAATTAGAAGCAAGCGGGAAAGAGAGAAAGGGAGCGAGGGAGAGTCTTCTAAACATTCTTCATCGGAGTATCCTAGGTAGAGCTACCTCAGATAGACTTTTAACACAGATTTTTGGAGTGTTCGGGATAATAATAAGCTGTTCATGACGTCACTTAGAGCCTTAGAAATTCGCGGTTCTCCGATAATTTAATTAATATATGGTTGAACGTGCTTTGGTTTACAAGGTTTCTGTGGCTTCCATCACGTAGTAGTATTGCAGCAAAAAGTTCAAGCTAGTGAGCTAGGCGTGTGTTACCTAAAAATAAGCCGTCAAAGGTAAACAGCAAATGCTGCGTAACTATTACTTTCATTGTGTATTTTTCGCACAGTCAACTGCGACAGCGACGTCTTGTGGATCTGCTTGGGAAATTGCATTGATCAGCATAAAAGTCGGCAATGCAACGTCAGGTATCATAAAATGGTGAGTAGATTTTGGGAAGAAAGAAAAAAAAATGAGTGCACCTTTGGGCCTTTTTTGCTTTCTCCGAGCGCACACATTCTCAGCTCTTCAGTCTGCGTGATGCGTAAGACTCGGATTTACAATTTGATCTCGAATTCCATTTTAGGCAGACCATTATGACCCTTTGAGTGACCAGCTGGGTAGGGCGAACAACTTATGCAATATCGTCAACACCCTCCGGAAGCATGAAGGTGCGTAATGTCCATAAAAAAATATTACATTCCGATATATCATTTTTCTCACGTTGAAGAGCCGTCTGGGGCGTGGTTGCAGACACTTCAGAAATGGATTTCTAAAACACGACTGAACCCACTGATGTTGGGCGTGGAGCTCATCTGGGCGCACCTATTGTTCGGTGCACCCTCTTTTGTCCTGAACGGTCATGGGAATGGTACACTCTGGAAGACTTCAGCTACATACGACTACAGCATTCAGTTGCAATATTCAGCTGGTTCAAATAGCTACACATTAGATATCTCTACTCTGCAAGACACGCTTTGCAGTTTTCGCTTAACCTTACCAGAGGTCGTGAGATTGTAGCGCACGAGGAGCACATGGCTGGTTTGGTTAGTTGGTAAGCTACGCAGTAGCACGCACCGCTGTAGATCACGGGGGTACCGGGGGCCTGTTCCAAGCTCACCGCAGATTGGAACAGGTGGAGCGATAGCTCGCACTGCCGAGCCCAGGGATCCTGTATGCAGCTAAATTCACACTCCTGCCCGTTTCTACCTGTATACGCATCGTACCGTCGTGTGGTTGTGCATCATTACTGTCTGATGCTCGTTAAAGACCCCAGGCTAGCGGTCGCATTGCCCTGGCTAATATTCTTAAGCTCAGACACCAGACGCTCATTGGGGCTGCCTTTCCACTTTCTAAATAAACACACAAGACAATTTGTTTTTAGTCCACAGTGCAGAAAGAAAGCGTAGTTGCGAAGCTGAACGTTGGCACTTGAAACAGGAAACTCTGGTCAGTGTTCGTAATATTAAAACAAGTGATAATCGTATAATACGCAGTAGTAGTGATAGCGGAAGAAACGCGATTTAAAACCGGGAGCAGGATGAATACAATTATCCTTTTAGAATGAAGCCGCCCTTTATAATACCAGGTCCCGGCATCAGGGTTCCGATATCCAGGTTTCAACTGCCTAAGGCACGAAGAAAAAACGTTTATGATAATCGTGGAGAGACAGTCGCCACTTATAAAAGATTGACCCGGGAGACGTTCTTTCATGTAGTACGAAGCAAAGAAGCTAGACATGTATTCTACAGTGCCAGGCTCATTGCGTTATACTTAGAAGGCTTCGTTGACCCAGACGCCGCCGCGAGTCACGGCAGTCGTATCTGCCTCAGGTGGCAACTTCGAGTTAATGGTCCTGCTTTGCACGAGCTATGCAGATGGGAAGGTCGCCAAGTTTGATTAATGAATGTCATGTTACAGCCCGGAAATTAATAGCGTTATTCTGTTCTTGCTCAGCGGCGCACCTATCACGGTGATCGTAACTTGTTATTACTAAACTTTCTGATAGTCAAGATAATTGGGCGCCGAAATATTCGCTGTTTAGATATGCGGTTCTCTATGCGCCAAAAGTGTATCTTCCCCGAGTAAGATTTTATCGTGCACCAATGGTAGAAGGGAATGCAGTAATTGCGTCAGGAGATAGCAGGCACGAAAACAGATTATGTCAAAGGTGCTGCTATTCGTTTACCATGCAGCATGACAGGTGCCAATTGTCGTTAGATATTTAATAAAGTTATCAGAAAGTCAAAATCACTCCAGAGCTTCACGGGGCCATCTCCGCTAACGAGCTGTGCATGTGAAATTACGATATCATGTTCACGTATTTCTCTCCAAACCGCAGAATGAACACGGCTACTGCTAGGTTAAGACACGTCTGTACCATATCATCGCAAAGTGCCTAAATGAATACAAGTTGTAGATAATCAATCCGTAATGGCTGTAGCACCTCTTCCTAGATTCTGCCACTATTTTAAAGTACAAGATGTTAAGAAAAAAAGCAAAGCGGGTGTTTTCTTTAATTCGAAACCCAACTACGTATCGCCAAATGCTAAGTCTTTCCTCAAACGTTGCACTGGCGGTTGTGCCTAGATGCCAACGTTTCAGAACGTAGTGTTATCTGATTCCTAAGCTGTAATCGATTCCCGAATTTTTTTTTTTTTTTTTAGTAAGTCGGCGGGGAACAATTTGCTATTTTTTTGCCCGAGAAGTGGGGCGTGAAGCGGGAATTCAAACGGTTTGCTTAGCGTCTTACACCGCCCTTGCATTACGTCTCAAGAGCCGGAATGTCATGCTGTCTGATGTCGCAATCCTGGCGGTAGGTTGTAGAAGTTTCGGCAAAAAAAGACAAGGGAACACAAGGGCTGCTGTCTTAGTCACAACTCGTGGCTGCCTAACGACCTTCATCAGGCAGGAGGCCCCCTCAGCTTAGCTATTGTGCCACCACCAGCGATGCGGCAGGCAACGACATGACACAAGTGCAACGTTATCAGGCGGAGAGAAAGGGACCGAAAATTGCGTACACTTTAAGCACACCAAAACTGTGTACGAACGCATGGCGGGGTTACTTATGTCTCATGGATTTGGTATCTTTCTTGGTAATTTTCCCTCTGCTTACTTGGTAGCGGCGGCAGTATACCTTACAGGTTTCGGAGTGACTACGTTTCGGCGTAAGTTATCTTGGCTTACGCGACGACAAGGTGGTTTACGTGGGCGCGTATTGAACCATTGCAGCCGACGCTCCGGAGTTGTGGTCCTTCCTGCCCCTATGCTTCGTGCTTCCTGAACAAACGCAGCAGCTAAGGGACGTGGCGGAAGCAGTGGGTTATCCTTTGACCAGCTCCGGGTGGCAGCTGAAGCCCATGAGGTCGGCTTCGAAACGTCAGCCCAAGTCCCAGCATATTTCTGGGGCTACACTTGCCGACGTCGGTCTCCTGCAGAAAGTGTAAGACGGTCGCGCTATTGGCGATTTATCACGATGTCTTCAATTGTCACAGGCAGTTCAAGAAACGCAGGGCATGGCGTGTTGTGTTGTTCGGCGTTCTTTCGATTGATTGATTAATTGGCATGTTTTCTTTTGCCACCGGTATCATGGCGGTTGGGACAAAAGGTGATTAAAATCATCAGCCTTATAGAATTATGTCTCAATCTCACTAGGCTGGGGTTAATTATAAGATGCCCGGTAGCCGCCATGTTGTGCGTTTTCAAAGCTCTGAGAAAACTACAGTGGCTTGTACTTTGTGAGTGATCAATATTAGGGTGAGACTTTTCAGTCGTCGCATGGTTTTGCTTTTAATTTGGTAGGGATCTGGGCACATTACACTTCCGTTTCGAAACGTGTTGCACTAGCAACGAAGAAAGCACATATAAATATAAAGTAGTAAAAATTAAAATACAAATAGACAGGAATTGGGTTTTTCTCATCTGAACGCTCTACGCATAATTAAATAACTGATCAGCATTGCCTTTGTTACCAGTAAAAATCTTAACAACAAGCTTTCATTATGATGAGCATGCCACTCTCTATGTCTATGAAGTTCTTGAGGTATACGCAGGTTTACATGGGAGGAGGGGGGGGGGGGTGGGGGGGGATCGGTGTTCTAGTGTGTTAGCGCACCGCAGCTCGGAGCACGTGAAGCGAAAGCTTCGCGTTGCAGAACCCAGGTATCCCGTGTTTAATCCCCACCCCTGTCCGTTTCGATTTGGATGAGCATCGTAGCGGCGTGAGGTCGTGTATCACTACTGCGTGGTGCATGTTGAAATCTCCAGGCTAGCGGTTGTGCTGCTCTGGCTAAATTTCTCATGTACAGCCGAGACACCAGAAGCCCATTGAAGCTAGCTTCCGGTTTTATAAACATACACAAAACGCAATCACTTTATGTTTACTTGGCATAGTTGCAGGATCACATCGCCGTTGATGGACGCTGTTGCAACCCTTGCCCCTTTCGTAATAACATTTCGGCGGTAAAATGATAGATATTTTCAATTGTTCCAACATCTTAACGGCAAACCCGAAATGAGCATAGCCCCAACCTCTTTCAGCCTGTCTCCGGCGCTCCTGGGCGGCAAAGTCGTTGCGCAGCAACTGCCGCGCCGCAGCCTGACTGTACATGGCCGCCCTGTGACCCTGAGGGTCTGGGTATTGGTCACGTCCCTGGCACCCCTGCGCGCCCACGTGCATAAACACAGGACTGTCTTCCAGATGGGCTACCAGAAAGCATTCCATTCGACAACGATGGTGAGAGTCAGCATGACAGCCGCGGTCCGATCACTGGGAATTCCCGTTAAGATCCGTATGTGTGCACACTTATCGCCTCGAGAGTCGATCGACACGGCTCATGTGGGGAAAAGGAGAACTGCGCTTCGTTTTACACTTGCTTGGAGCCTGTACAGTGTAAAGACTGCACAGTGTTTCTGACACACTAAAAAAAAATGCAAATATTGGTGTTCAAATCTTCGAACGACGTACGTCCGGTTTTCGGAGTTCCCGTTCAGCTGTTTTTGAGCAGTAACTAGAGACAAGGACAGCTAGTTATGCATATTCCCACTAATCAATCGAGTCAGAGTTCAAGTGTGCCCACGCTCTCTCGTCTCCTCCTCCCCTCTCAGTTGTTCCTCACATAGCTTTGAAGCAGGTTCGATAATACGGCGTGCTCTGCACAATAGAAGACTTTAACAAACATTTACTGTGGTCACAGTATTGCCCCCTTCACGCTTTTCAAGACAGGTTTCACAATGCCGGCCAAGCTGCTTTATTGTGGTAAAAAAAAGTGAAAGCCGTTTACAACTCCGTGTAACGCCGAATTGGAGCGCAGCTCTTGAGGAGGAGGAGGGAAGGGTACTGAGGGGAGGGTAGACCCCTCCTCCTTCTCCTCCTCCTTCTCCTCCTCCTCCCCTCATTATTTAATATGCTCCGGGGGGTCACCTGACCTCGGGGGGGGGGGGGTCACGTGACCTGGGGGCAGTCATGGGTAAGTTACTTTTAAAAAGTAATTCGTTACAGTTACTGTTACTTTCACAAAAAAGTAACGAAGTTACCGTTACAGTTACCGCAACAAAAAAGTAACTCGTTACAGTTACAGTTACTTTCAAAAAGTAACGACGTTACTTTTCAGTTACTTTTCTATAACACAAAAATTAAGGAAAAACTAATGTTTGAAAGAAAAAAAAATATAGACACGAATCAATCGGGCTTTCACCATAGCGGTAAATTCAAACTTAATAATTTAGCTGGAAAATTAGTCAATATTATGAAAAGAATAAAGACAAAAATTGAACTGGATGTGTTTTCTCAGATTTGAACACGAAGACTTGTTGTCGGAGTACTCCTTGTTGCAAAGTTTGCATACTGCGGTCAAATACTTAGCAACCAACTTCACCACAGAAAAATACTCTGTACGCCGGCCATGCTTGTTCTTTGTTCTGTTCTCATCAACATCCCTATCCTTGTAGCACTAGCACATTGCTCGCTCGTTGACGGTTGCGCTGTGTTTGTGGACTCCTTTGATATATTTCAGTTCGTACCCGGCAAACCAGAAACAAGCCCTGCGCCAACAACAGTAAATTTTGCCTCCACCGTTGAAACCACGCCGGAGTAGTGGCGCAAATCAAAATACGAAACATGCGCAGTGCGGAGTAGTGGCGCTAATCAAAATACGAAACATACGAAGTTCCCTCCGCGTGTTTTGTTGTTTCACGGTTGATTCACCCGATTAAAATGCGTGCGCAGAAAAGAAAAAACCGCAACAGAGGTAGTGCTTCAATATACTAAGATGTAAGTGTTCAGTCACAAAGTACAAGCAAGTGCGTAAAGATAACTACATTCTTCTTTTTTTTTCTTCATGAAATCTACACGTGGCTATATTCGGATAGTGACTCGCGAGAAAGAACGTATTCTCAAGTTTGTGCAAGGCCAACTGACACTCAAAATGACGAAACAGACACTTTGGAAAGTGCAAGGAATAGCTAGATTATACTCGTTTAATGATATATTATTCACAAAGAACTGAAAAGTAACGACAAAAGTAACTTCGTTACTTTCATCGTTACCTCAGAAAAAAGTAATAGAACTACAGTTACAAGTTACATTCTTAAAAAGTAACTCGTTACAGTTACAGGTTACCGAAAAAGTAACGAAGTTACAGTAACGCGTTACTTGTAACGCGTTACTACCCAAGACTGCCTGGGGGGCCGCGTGATCTTCGGGAGGTCACGTGACCTCGGGGGGTCCCGAGACCTTGGGGTTCACGTGACCTTGGGAGGTCACGTGACCTTGGGGTGACCTTGGGGCGACCTTGGTTACGGCGACACCGACGCTGCTCAAGCCGGAAACGGGCGCCTAAGAGCTGCGCTCTAAAATGGAAGACGTTTACAAATCTCTGTAATGCGAAACTAGAGCGCAGCTCTTGAGGAGGAGGAGGTAAGGATATGCTCCTCCTTCGTACCCTCCCCTCTTCCTCTTTCCCCCTCCTCTCCTCCTGCCCCTGAATGTGTTCATTGGTGACGTGACGCGAAGTCTTGGCGTCATTTTCTCTGCTAAATTTAGCGGGGAAACCGAATTGGTGAAGTCACGTGATATCAATTTCCGCGCTAAAATTAGGGGAAAAATTTCCCTGCTAAATTTAGCGGGAACATTTCTCCGCTAACTTTAGCGGGGAAACGTCCCATAATAGGGAGTTTTCATAGATGATTTTCGCCGTCCCGCAACGCTCTTCGTAACCCGCTACGATACCCACAACTCTACCGACAAGGCCATGAGCGCGCAAGCGCACTAGCGGCTTCTTCGTTGCGGCGAGGGCTTGGCGGAGGTGGAAACGCGGTCTACGAATACGCGCGTTTACGCCAACGGCGACGCTGCCCAACCCGGAAACGGGAGCCTAATGGTACGTTTGCACTTGCGGATCCGCTAGCGAATCCGCCCAGCCTTTGCCGCTGGGGCGAAACGCTGGGCGGAAAACGCGGTGGCGAGCCGTATACGCTCCGTGCGGGAACTATAGGGGGCGCTTTGAAAAACGCGCGTAGCGCCGCTAGCGGAGGAGCTGGTGTTCGACAGTGAGGCGCGCTCAGCAGCCTGCGGCGCCTTTTCGCGTGCGAAGCTGTGGCGGCGGAAGCGTGCACGGACGGAACTTTTGCTTTGTGAGCCGATAAGTTGAGAGTAACGTTGCATGAGTGCCGCCGCAGACCTAAGAAGGGCATTTAGCTGTTCTTGGCTTCTTATATATTGAGTTTGAGTCGTTATTAGGGGTAATTTCTTTAGTCGCGGTCGTAAAAGTGGTTTGAGCAATTTTCCGAAAAGCAAGACGTCCGCCACCATAATTGCTCTCAGTGAAAAATTTCTTCCGCTCGTCGCTGTAAACGTAGGACTGCTGGGACGATGATATTTGGAGGCGAGTGAGATGTTCACTAAGTTTGTGCACTAAGTGGGCCAAGTTTTATTAAGACAGCAGGTGTGAAAGTTATGGTTCAAAGGAATAAAGCTGTCAGGAATATTTAATATTGGACCCAAAATGTTGCGTTATAACCGGGCTGTGCGAAGTGCAGATTTGGACACAAAGCTTCTTGGACATGACCGTAACTTGACACAGCAGTTATAATACCAAAAATAAGTGGCACAGGGAAACCAGGCGGAAATTTGGTTTGGGCGGCGTAAGTGAATGGGGAACGGTTTTGACCGAGAAAGGGCTGTAAAGAGAATACCACACGTCGTGGGAGATAGAGACTTTGCAGGTAGGAAGGGACTATGAACTGTACTTCCAATTGAAACAACCTTACGAAAGGTGGCTTCAAAGCCGAGAAAACCAAGTTGCCGGCCAACACACGGTTTGGCCGTCAAAGGCTTTTGCTGTCAGCTGTTGTGTAGTAATCTGGTTGAGCGAGGTGCTGATTTTCGGCACACAGGTACTTGGACAACCATAACTTGGCAAAACACTTATTATACCTAAAAGAAATGGCATAGTTTAGCCAGGTGGAAATATTTTTGGGCAGCGTAACTAAAATGGGAACCGGTTTTGACCGTCAAAGGCTGTCAAGAGAATACCACTCATTATGGGCGGGAGGTGCACACTTTACAGGCAGGAAGGGACCAGTGGACGGTACTTCCAGTTCGAACAACTTTGCGATATGTGGCTCTAAAGCCGAGAAAACAAATTGTTGTCTACGAGACTCGGGTTGTCAGCGTTTCGACATTCAAAAGCAGGCTGATCAAAAAAGAAAGCACACCACGTAAACTTCCATACTCCAACATCGATGGTCCAGTGATTCCAAGTTTCATTGTAGTTTTCCTTAGTTTTATATTTGTCACTTTTTGTACCGTCCAAATCTTTCTTTATGAAGTACAGACTGCGTGCCATACTGGTCCGCAAATATCATCGACATGTACGATGGGGACGAAACTTCTTTGGAGGGCATTCCTTCAACGAAATTGGCTCTGCATACCCAGGAGTGTGGGATGGCATTTCAGTTCGAGCTGAGATATGTGGGCGTTACTGGTACGAAAACAAACGCAGAGCGCAAAGCGGCAGTGTAGAAGATTTCAGCCGTGCCCACACAGGGGCAGACATGATCGGGAGACCAAATTTCTCGCGTCGTACGGCACACGGGTTCATCGTTGTCGCTGTCTCACAAAACATCGGCGAGGTGAAAAACTGTGATACTTCGTCCCCACGAGATACAACGCGTAACTATTGGAGCACTTAATGACGCCGCAGTTCATGCTGTGAACCCAGCGCAACCGCACCGCTCCGACTTCAATGCGTACCAATGTACGCGGCGTGGTTTCGTTTCGCTGGGGCTCTCACTGCCTACCTCCGGTAACGGCCGCGCGGCGGCGCGCCGGTCGCGTCGCACGGAGTGTATAGGTCCAGGACCTATTTCTGCCGCCGAACGAGGCGTTTCGCTGACCGGAAGTCACATTCTTGCGCAGCGCGACGCTGCCTACGTCATGAGTACGCGTCCTTCCGGGAGCAGCAACGCCCGTGAGAGACAGCTGAGGTGGGAATTCTCGCGCCTTCTTGTCATATTCGACGGGGTGTTACGAGAACAGCTGCTGCAGCCGGCGCCGCCGCCGCCGCTAGAAGGAAATAGATGTAAACACAACCCGTTCGTCGCGAATCCGCTCCCAAAGCAGCGGATTTCTTCTCAGGTGTAAACGTACCATAAGAGCTGCGCTCTAAAGCAATAAAAAAAAAGCTCGGGATAAAGTCCATAAATGTCTGCGCGTGCTGGAACCTAGCGGTTTTCAACGTTTTAGTTCACCCAGTGCAGAGTAGCCTGCTAGAGCCAGGCACCCAGGCTAATCTCTCTGCCATTCAATCATCCCATCGCTCTTTGTACTGTGTAATCAACTAGGATTGTGACATAATATTCGTAAACCAAAGAGATCAGCGGTCGCTTTCACTGCACGTGTCGTCTTTTCACAGTCTGAGCCGAGCGAACAAACCTGGCCGCTCCACCAGTTCTGGAGCTACCTTCAGCAAAAGAACGGTCCCTCCAGCGTTGGCGGCATCTGGGCGAAGATGAAAGCCCAGATCGCTGGAGTTCTAGCCGTTGCCGAGAACAGGATCCTCACCAACAGCCTTATTCAGAACGCGACAGAAAACATCAGCGAGTTTGCGAGGCACGTACTGCATCATCTTTCAAACGAAACGAAAATGACAACGCCGAAGGGGAATTTCGTGAGGAAAGCTGCGTCCCCTCGGGGTCGGTTTGCCCAAAAGTCGCAGTCATATAAAAACACAGTCGTATATAAGATATTTGCTCAGTCCGTTATGACCCTTTTAGCAAGCCGAACCCGAGGGGACGCAACTTGGCTCTCCAACTTTTCGCTGTCGTCATTTAACCTTCGAACGAGATTTTAACTCTCTTGGTTTTTTTTTTTAGCAAGCTAAGTTATCTGTAATGGTCCACACTAAACAAGTCAACTGAGTAAGTTACAGTAATATAATAAGTGATTGTAAGTTGAGGTTGAATGATCGGTGTACAGATTCTCACTATTGTTTCTTGGCACAGCACGGATAGTCTGTGACCTGACCAGAGAGCCTCATCCGCTTCTTTTTTTTGCGGATCTAAAGCACTATAGATGGTATCAACGAAAGAGTGCTTGTTGTGTTCAGAAATTGCATATCAACGCAGACTTTAATCTGCAGATGCGCGTGTCACGTTGTCCTTTTTGTTCGTGGCTCGCCTGTATAGGCACTCACAGGTTAAAGGGTAACTGCAAAGAAAAAAAAAGTGTTTTCTTAAACAGCCTATTGAGGACAAGCATGTCATAAAACAAATCTTCCGCGAAAAAACGAATTTTTTCTAGCAATGTTTACGCCGCAGGACGTAACTTTGTCGGAGCAGAGCCGTATATTGGGAGAGTTTGGCCAGTGGGTGTGGAGACGAAGGCGCCGGAGAGGAGAAAAGTAAATGAAAGGGAGGAGAGCGCCGAAGGAGCGAGAGAGAAAGAAGGGAGCAGAGAGGAGACGACCGCCATTTTTTAGCAACGCTGTCGGAGACTGGTCGGAGAAGAGCACTGCTGAGGCTACGCGTCGTCTGCTACAGGCCGACTTCTTTTTCGCCTGAATAAAAGTTTGTGGCCATACGCTGAAAAATCTTAATTTATTAGCTTTTTAACCCACCGAGGAATAACAGAATGTCATTTTCTTGCCAGAGCCAGCGATATAAAAGGCAATAATCGAGATTTAGATGCCGATCCCACGCATTCCGACGGGAGAATGATCGAAGACGGCGGCCCTCTTACTCAGGTGGGAGCAGCCGGGAGTTCACGCGCATGCGCTCATGCCTCTCGCTCTACGCCGCGTGCTGATTGGCTCACTCGGGAGGAGAGCGTTACGGCGGCGAGATCATACACTGACCAAACTCTCCCCATATACGTCTCTGAGTCGGAGTCACAACTTCTCCACATTTAAAACTCCCGCTCTTTCCACGCGCGCGGAATGGCTGCTGTACGTCAATCCGTGACGTATAGCAGCCACTCCGTGACGTTTACTACCAACTTTCTGGCGCGCGATTCAAAACGGACGAAATAGCCGTAAACGAAAATGAATCTCGCGCAATAAATATTGCTGTAAAAAAGTTCGTTTTTGTGAGAAGATTTGTTTTGTGACATGCTTGTCCCAGTTAGGCTATTTAAAAATACACAATTTTTTTCTATGCAGTTACCCTTTAAGAACATTAGGGCACTGCGAGTCCCGAATATGGCGTCTCGAGCATGTTCTTAAAGGGATAGTGAACCCAAATTTCGAGGTCACAAAACAAGGCTGGATGGATAAGCGGGACGCTGCAAAACCCAAAAACATCACTCATGCAGCGATATCTCTTACGGATCGCCGTATTTTTGGAAAAGAAGTGCGCGATTGAACACGCGGCCCACGAGCCCGACGAGAGAAGTCACGTCACGCTTCACATTCCCTCTCCTCCTCGCTACCTCCCGCCGAGCTGGTGAACCGAAGCGAGAAGGAGAGAAGCGAGGCCGCTTCGCCTCATTCTAAAATTTTCAAGGTGGACAATGACGTGAAAGAACTCGCTTGATCGTGCCCTTCTTTTCCAAAAGTACGGCCATCCGTTTGAGATAGCGATGCATGAGCACCTTGTTGTTTTGGAGTTCGTAGCGTCCCGTTCAACGCTTCTGTGGCTTTTTTTTGCGGAATCTAAATTTGGGTTCAGTATCCTTTTAACGCTAGTCAATGGCGTTGTGCCATTAGCCGATAAGAGTGCTCAAGAGCGAATCGCCAGGACAAAAGCGTTAACATAATACACGTCCCGCGTTTTGCAAGTTGTCATTGACTGTGACAGAAATGCAACTTTTCCCAGTTCGCGTAGTTAGGAGCGTCGGCTGCGTCTGGGTTTAAAGTAAAACGAAATATAAAAAGGAGAATTTTTTTTATTGTTGTTGCAGCGGTTCCTCTTGGTTCCAGCTGCTCAGCTTTGACTACATGCTGAGTACCCGCCTTCAGCCATTCCTAACACACGTGAACGTCAGGCCAAGCCTCGAGCGACATCGTAACCGAGGCTTCGCCGAATTCCTGGCCGCCAAGATAATCCCCGATGCCATACGAATGTTGACCGCGCGACGCAAGGTGGCGCCCCAAGTCGCCCTTGCACTTCGTGGCACCGATGTTAGCATCGGCCTCATGGTACTTATCCTGCTGTTCATTAAGGTGCGAAAGTTGGACAATTGCGTGTGCCTTCTGCGACCTTTCAAACTTAATGTGTATGATTATAACAATGAAATTATTTTATCAGCCCTTTGTCAGGCTAGCTGCACTCTTGCACAACTTCACCGCTGACGAAAGTGGGAGTTTGGTAGAATTAGGAAAGTACCACCAAAGGACGTTGTTTCCTGAGTGTCTACTGCGGTTTTTAGCTTGATCATAACGGAACTATGAAACTACTTTCTCTCGTTTCATTACCCTGTGCCTACCACCGATACTTATTATAAAGAGCTGGCTGGCGCATTGCTTCTCTCCGAGCCTGGTGCAAGTGAAGCCACAAGAAGTTCAATGCTTGTCCCGGAAGTCAGGCGTTTGCTGGGCTTCCAGTCCTGACTTTCGGGACATTCAGTCGATGCTTTGGTCCATGGTTTCTTGTGTCTTTAAATAAGTTTTAATAATTTCGTTTTTAATTCAATCCCGAGAATAAGGCATTGGAACGTGGGATATATGCACACTTGATCAACTAGAATCTAAATATTTTTACATCAAATGGCTTCCCAGGAGACTTCTCGGGGCTGCATGCGCTGTTGCTACGCTACAAGTAGGCTCTCTTTAGATGACAAGAAAAAATCAAGTACCCTGGACGCTGTTCGAACCCGCACTCGGAACAGCTGAAAAGCCAGTCAAGCGCTTACTTACGAAACAAGCCGCTTACTTCCGCTGATATCGTACCTGTTTTCTCAGTGCGCCATCCAGCCCCCTAGTGGAGATCAGTGGTGCCTTTTATGTATCTTCTATGACTGTATAGAAGACTTACGAAGCCATTCAATTAATTACGACTTCCCTATTCTTCCGAATAGGGCTTGTATTGTAGGCTATCCCATGACATTTGCCTCACAGAAAAAGACATCGGGCATCTCTTGGTTAGCAGGAGAATGACTTTGGCAAGAGGAGGGTTTGAGCAGGTTAGATCTTCTTGCTTTTGTTTTCTAACTTCTAGCTTTCCTCCCTTTCTATGTGCTCCTAAACTTTTACTCAGAATTAAACGCATAATCCTGGATATTTTCCACAACAGCTGTATCCATCTTCAGAGGCAAGACAGCTCACAAATTTCCTGTCTTCATTGGATCAAAATATACAACGGCTCGTGTTCTCGACCTCGCGAACACGACGAGGAAGTGTGTGAGTAAAGCGCTTTCATTGATCTGCAACCAGATAGGTTGACCTGCATTGTGTTCGTATGCTCAGGATTGCGACAGTCAGGCGTGAAAACAAACGAATTTTTTAGTGTACGCACAATCTCAGAAGGGGAGGCACCAGTAAATTGGATTGAAAACATATGATTCAAACCAAGGGTCTTTATACAAAATCGGTACGCCTTAAATCTTAAGCATTCTACGAGCCGCCAGGGAATATGCAATAAAATAATGTAAGTTTGTAAGTTTCTCGGTAGATGGGATCGCTCTTTGATGTCGCTGCTGTTATTTATTTTTAGGCAGGATGTAAGTCAGCAGCACCAAACGGCACAACTTCATGAGCTTGCATTGAGTTTGGAGACTATATACGGCTCTGCGCAGGACCAACCTCTTACTGAAAGGTAAGTGTTTTTCTGAACCACTGAAGCACTCCATTTGTCTGTGAATCGGATACGAGAAATCAGTTTTGACGCCTTAAACATTTTGCTTATTTTCAGATATAGAGGTTTTGGGTGCAATAACTAACCTCTCTTACTATAGCTGTTTTCTATTTCTTTTTAGAAACGAGAGATCTACACAAGGAGGCACCCACTGCGGTAGGAAATATTTAATTACAACTTAAATGGTTAAAACTTCGATCGGATGAATATCGCGTATATATAAAAAAAGGCTGTAATGGTATAAATGAAAGCTATTGTACTTTCTAGATCGGCAGCGGCGAACAACAGTAACACAAGATTTGATCTCAGAAGAGGAACAGATAGACTGCGTTCAAGGTAAGTTCGCATGTCTTTTATTTTTTTTTTTTTACGGACAACTGTTAGCTTGTGCAGTTTCAACGAGATTATATTACTGCCTTAAGGTTCAGGATAATGTTAAGGTAATATATGGCGTTCTATGAAATAATATTGATTTAGCTTTTTGTTTATGAATTTATAATTTTATGCCTCGGAGTTCCGGTGATTAATAAATATTTCGTGCGGGTTATTTGGGAGCGAACTCTTGAGTCTGTAAAAACTCTGTTTAAAGCACTTCTGCGATTGAGCACTTCTCGATGTTGTCTGTTAATGACAATTAGCAAACTTTTCATTCCAGTTATCAATACCAAGTTCGCTTTGCTTATACATCTAATGGTATCACAGAGCATACATGAAAGTTATTCATAACCGGCTGATTTGAACGAGGGAGATTTACATCATTAGCGACTTTCTTTACTAAGCTTAGAGTTCTGATTATTTAAAAAAAAATTATACTCTAAATACGCCTTACAACTGCCTGTGTGCGTACTGCCGCGCGCTGCATTTCGAGCGCCCATTCCTGATATACCCTTTTAATTAGTCATCGAAATGCGATATGGCTTGTCTTTTTAACAGACTAAACTAGGCCAAAGAAAGCTCGAGGATTGGCACTCGAAGTTGAACGTGGGGCGGCATGGATGCATGCATCTTTGCGGCAGTTTATGAACTAAAGGTTCCGAAAAATAATAATTCCGTTCAGCACATTGCTTCGCGATTTGTTCCTGATCGCTTTTATCGAGTAATGCTGCTATCCCATGGACAGGCTGTACAATGTTGAGATGAATCGAGCTCTGCACGTTTTAATCACATAAATTTAGTTCTGACCACGCGTCAGTGTGAGAGACTATAAACACGTGTCAGTGTCAGCTCACATTGTCAGATAAACCGCCACTGATTACTGAGGGGGCCGTTCAACTTGCCTACCTTTGGGTCGTGCGTTACCTTTATATCTGTGATGCCCTAAGTGAACTTCTGTCCTTCCAGATCAGGCGTCCTTACCATACCTACGCTGGTTGCGCGTGTCTCCGTCAAAGGAGCTGACGCCCGCCTTCCATCCCAACGTAACGGAGTATCGGCTGGACGTTCCTTACGACCAGCTAGTGCTGCGAGTTCGGGCGCGGGCCTTGTACTGCCACGCGGAGGCCCGGCTCGACGACCGGCTGGGACCCGCCAGGTAGTTCTTTGGGTTTTGTCTTCCTAAAGCCGGCGACAGAACACTCCGGGCGTGGGCGGCAGCATGCAGTAACCAACTCGGAGACTATATAATACGCCAATAGGGCCAATACTATTATCGATTTACACGCTGCCAGAACTAAATTCAGTTATTGAATAAAAACGACCTGTATACATGCTATTTAAAGGCACTAAATTTTGTTTTGGGCACCGTGAAAACTGAGCAGATGCTTTGGCCAACACCTTAATTAACCTATGTATTGTTTTGGCGAAGAGTAAAATAGCTAGACATCTGTCGATCAATTCCTTATGAGATAAAAGCGAAGCAAATCGTTTTAATTGGTCATTGAATATGACTACTCTCTTGGCAAACAATACTGTAAACTATTTTTCCGCCTCTCAATAAAGAAAACCAGCTTTCAGGACTCCAAGTTTAGATGCAGCTTAATTAATCGCTGTGAAATCGGATGAAGAGGCTGGTGCCAGAGGTCTGTGCGGAACAATAATTAAAACAACGGCGTCTGTCCACGCGCAGGCCGATCAACTATACTCTTGGTCTGGGCTACAATCGGGTGTCCGTGGTCGTTGTGGACATTCGACACCCGGAGGCCCGGGTGGCCAATGCGTACGTACTCACCGTCTTCAGGCGTCCTGAGATCTCCGATGGAATCAGACGTTTCGACGCCGACCGGAGTTACGCCGCGTGCAACCTCAAGCAGGTGAGGTAGGAAAACTCGCTGATTGATCTATCATGACCACGAACCAAACTAGTATTTTTCTTTAGAGCTGCGAGCTGAGGATATACCCTAGGGAACCTTGTGGTCTTCAGCGAGAACCTGAGGCGAGAACGTGGGCGTCCATGCTACGACAGGCTGAAGAACTCAGAGTCTGCCACTCTGGTCACGAAAGTGGTAGGTTTTATGTTTTCTTTTTTTTGCAAGAGGTTATGATCTACCATTTAACTCTAAATTCTTTAAGCGCATTTTTTTTTTTTTTTGTAATTGAAGTTGACCGAACATCGGTTTTTATTTAAGGTACATTTAAGATTGTTCGCACTTCCAAGACCATTGCATTCCATTACTAGTTTTTTGTTGTATGTTTTACCTTGGCAAATTTCAGTTCGACGTACTTAAGCACCTTATCGTACTTGAGCACCTTATCTTGTAGGCCGTCCCTTCTGACCTCTCTTTCGTCTTAGATACACATCGGGATGATTTCATTGTTTCTCATTACATATATCACCTGGAGCACATCTCTATAAGCTAGATTTCTGGTTCTGAAGATACGCCTTCTGCCACAAACACCGCGTATTAGGGGTACTAACTGCTGCGGTCTCTGAGGTCAGTGTGTCAAGTAACGCAGTTGGTCGTTTGTCATTTGAGCATTTTTTGGGGCGGTTAAACGCACTTCTGTCCTCAGTGTCCACGGCATGGAATCAAAGAACCAACGGGTCAGTACCTAGTTACATTCTCCGCTGCGATCAACACCGGTGTTGACCAAGCTGATCACAAAGGACCCGAAGACCACTGTTGTGCGTTTGACTAAGCACGTCTATGATCATTCTGTTGTAAGGCAGCGTAACCACATTTGCAGGTCGCTGGGTGCTTCCCTGCGAAAATTGTAATATCGCCGAAACATGCTTTTGGAATGAAGCTCGCTGGATGCCCGTCAACTGCCGCTATGCCGACATTGCCAACCTCCCACTGCAGGACTGCCTTGCCGGAAAAAAGGCAAGAGACGTACGACACTCGTGTGATTTTTTTACGGTATTTGTGCTACGTGCCTTAGACACAGTGGTTTGTTTGGTGGAACGTGAAAGATGGACATCAGCAGCTCTTTTTCTTCCTTCTGAGTAGTATAAGACACAATATTGCCTAACTTTTTGTTGCTTGTGGAACGACCGTTATCCTTGAGGTTCTGTCCATTCAAATGTTCAGAATGTTGTTCGGCGGCACCGATTCTGCAATGGTGGTTCCATTCACTGTAAATGTCAATAATATATTTAAAAAAAAACTTGTTTATTTGAATAATTGATCGTGGTATGCAGACGTATGGGGCATAGTTATCAACTGTCAAATATGCGTGCGGTTCATATATATGTGACTACGTGTCAGCAACAGTTTAGAAACATCCAGTAATGTATATCGGCATCAAGGATCATGGAGAGCTGAGGTTTAAAACCCAAAGAGCTGGAGCAACAACTTTTAACAACGGCCCATGTAGATCGCCGGACAGACGAACTGCCCTACCATAACGGCAGGCAGCTGGTGGATTTTATAGGAAAGGTACAGGCTATTCCAGGCTATACGGGAAACAATGGTTGCTGATACCGGTTTCTTCTTGAACAGTTGCTATTTGTTGGAGACTCGACGAACCGCGGCATGATGTACTACGTGCTGATGCGATTGAACGGCACGCTGGGTGAGTGGCACAAGAGCCACGGCATCCTGCTGCACCGGCGGAACCTCAACGGCGGAAGGACAGACGCGGGTTTTGCCTATTACCCGCAATTTTGGTTGCCTACGAACCGAAGACCTCCCCTAGGTGCCACGCTCAGACAGCTTGTCAACGGGTGAGTGCACCTAGAAAATGTCGAGCAATTTTGAGGAAGAAAAACGCTCGAGGTGTTGACAGCTGCGGTTTCAGGCAATAAATGACCCCTACACGCTGAACATCAGTGTTTCCAAGCGCTTGTGCCTTTTTGTTATTGCAGTGTTTTTTTTGTTGACCGAATTTCAAAATAAGAAAGAAGTTTTCATTAGAAACAAGAAACAATATGCATTTGTTGTTTCATTCTCTTGGATATAAAATTAGATAAAAAACCGAAAACGAAGACCTTTTCTCCACAGGACTTCTGTACGTATACTAAACTGCTAAAAAGGCTTTTTTGTTCTTGTGGATTGAATGCCAGACATATGCAGTTATTCTGAGGCTTGTTACTTTCTTAGTTAAAGCGCCTTCATACATTCTTCCTGCATGCATTTTTCTCCGTAATGCACTCCAAGCCCCAATCGTTGATCTGCATTAAATCAATTTACTCAGTGAGCACGCCGAGTCACCTCACGCTCTAATGGTCATGTATATATATATGGCTTCAGTAGAAAAAAATGTGAACGCCTTTCTGCCGTGCCACTCGCTCTTTTTGATGCATAAACGTAACCCCAATAAAAAAAAATGATTGGTGTTTAGTGAATTGTGTTCTTTTTGACACAAAGTACTCAGAGCACTAATGTTTGAGTAGGCTGGCAGGCATGCCTACATAACTATATGCGCCAAAAAGTTCTACATTTTAATGTGGGTATTTTAGTGTGTAGCCTTACTTTGTTCGGATGACCAATATATATTAGGTGGTTAGCACACATTCTTTGAAAATGCTGTTATTTATATGCAAAGTTCATCGCTTTTGATCAGCATGAAGAAAAGAAAGTAAAGACTGCAAAACACCGGGAAATCTAGCTGACTAACGAGAGGGCGAATGCAAGATGTGCATTAAGAAAAAATAGCACGGAGAAAGTATATGCAATTTTTCTTTTTTTTTTTTTATGTTGACGGTGGTGCGTTGTTTTGTTTGTTTTTCAGGATGACTCCAGTAGAGAACAGCGCCAGGACAGTGCTCGTCGTGGGAGGAGTGCACTGGATAGGCGTGAAACACCTCACCTCACTGGCGGCTACGTTAAAAAGGTAGCTTTAGTGACGCTAAGTTGGCAAGTTGGGCATGCCATGCCCAACGTACCAGCTCTTATTTCGTGCCAGAATTTCATCTGGAAACATGAACACAGAGCAGGCTGGCACAGATGACCTGAAACACGAAAGAATAAAACACATGGGGACGGACACACCCAGACAGGACAGTTTTCTCAATTAGCAACCGACGTTTATGATGACTCCTCAATAGGAGAGCGCTTAATTTTAATCTTAATTTGAGTATATGGTTTATTTTTCTTTTTTCCCTTTTTCCAACGGCGTTATCATCTCTGCTTTTTTTGTTTTTCTTCCTCGTTTTTTGAGGGTTCGGTTAGAGAAGCGCTGACCCATTGAGGAGGCATCATAAACGTCGGTTGCTAATTGAAAGAACTGTCCTGTCTGTGTGTCCCCGTCTCTAAGGGTTTTATTCTTTCGTGTTTCAAATTCATCTGGGTATTGTCGATTACCAAGATCCCTCTAAGCGGAGTGATCGGCTCATCATGAGCCTTTACTGAAGGGTGATATGCGGGTCGCTTTTGAGCATAATATTTCGTTAAACCAATGGAAAAATTACCAATAAAAAAGTATTTGTCATGAAAATAATGCGTCATTATGCAGATTTCATACAGAGCACAATATTTAAAAATTCTAACGAAGCAAGTAATTGTTTATATTAATATAAATATTCGTGAAGCAAAACAAACTCGCTCGGGTGATTAAGATACCCCTTGTTGGTTTGGCACATAAACCCCCGAAAATTTAGTTGTATAAATATTTGTTTTTTATAGCCTCAACTTGGGGAACGTCAAGGTCATCGTGAAAACATTCGGCTCCGGTTTTCATCAGAAAGCAGACGGGGTTCATCAGGTGGCTATGGTAAGCATCCGCTTTCCTAGTGTACAATTTTCTCAAGCTAAAACGACAAGCCTGCCATTCAAAGATATTTGCTAAAGCTTGCTAGCCATGAATGCGTGATTGCGGATTCAATATTGGAAGGTGGAATGATAAGGCAACTTCCAATAGACGTCCAAACTAATTTTTTGGGACCAATAGAAGTTTTTAAAAAAGAAAATGCAAAACGTTCTGAAAAGAAATTTTGGGCGCAAACGAGCTGGAGGAGACTACACATAACTAGTTACTTACGAATAATAGATTATGAGTTCGAAGTGAATTCGAAGCGAATAGTGGTTTTGATCGAATAGTTTCGAGTCAAATAGTTACTGAAGTATTCACTACCGTGCACCATGCTGGAACGAAAATTCATCTTAACTCTTGAATGTTGTTCCCAACCTCCCACTTGTCCACTTCTAAGCTCAGGTATTTTAATATAACTACTATGCCAACTGTGGCGTGTTAGCGACATCATTGTGGCAGTTGTCCTGATCGAGGAGCCTTATAAATCAGTTTGCTATATGCAGATATTCTTTCCTCTATTTCAGATAGACAAAATAAAAACAAAGCATGCATGAATTATGAACGTTGGCTGTCAAAACATTCTAGAAGTTTTTGTGCGACACAAGGGACAATCACAAGGGCGTAGACATGAACCAAATAATCCAACAACAAGTTTTAATTGTCAAAACATTCCGGCGGGTTTGCCCCGTTAAGTGCGCTTCTCTCCAAGCACTTTCGCACTGCGGAGACGTAACACCCGCGGAGTCCGCGAGCTCCGCGGGTATTGCTTTCCGCAATGCACCAACACTCGGGGATGAGCGCACTGAACGGGGCCGACTCGCCGCGATCAACACCTCGAAAAGTACGAATATTGCTGTTCCCCTCAAAAGTAAATACCAAATAGCGTATTATTCCAAACAGCTATTCGAAAATTCGAATATTGGTACACATAACAGAACCCTGGGACTGCAGAAGGCAAACATGGCATACACACAGATAGACACACACACCACACACGAAGTTTCAATCAACAGAGCAGACTCGGCGTGTGCAGTGTATGTGTGTGTGTGTGTGTGTGCGTGTGTGTGCGCGCGCGCGTGTGTGTGTGTGTGTGTTTGTTTCGTTTTTACTTCCTACAGACTTGGGGTTGTGTTATGATGTCTTCCTGTAAAGGGGTATTCACACGAGGGAGAAATCCCGGAGATCTCTACCCGGCACGCACGCATCACGAGACGAAAACGCGAGGCTTTACACATCCCAAAGCCTGACGTGTTCGTCGCATCGCGGAATGCGCGTGCCGTGGAGAAGTATCCGGGATTTCTCCCTCGTGTGAATACCCCTTTAGCAAATAAAATTCTCACCCCGTAAAACAAGAAAAAAAAAATCGGCTTCTTCTTTATAGCGCTTAAGAGAAACTGTTATTTCCATAACGTCACTATGAAGCTCTCTGACGAAGGGTCAATGGTATGGAAACGTAAAAATGACGAAACTTTTCTTTTTTTCAGGAAGATTTACAGAAAATGGGTAATACCAACCGAGACTTGATTCGGCGGGCAAAGCAGTTACACATGGACGTCGTGGACACGTACAATATGACCTCGGCCAGATACAAGGATTTCATGCAAGGCAACTGCGCCTGCCATTTTCACAGGGTGAGCATCCGAAGAACATTGTTTTTACGATACTGGACCACATCGATGAAGTTCCGCGGCGGATACCGCGTGTGTTTTTTAGCACATAGTGGCTCGCTAAATTTAGTGGAAAACTTTCTCCGCTAAATTTCGCGAAGAATCACGGTGTTCTTGCATTGTGACGTCAGACTGTCGCATGTCACATCGCATAACGTCCCGCTACATTTAAGCGAAGAAGTTTATCCATTGCATTTAGCGAGAAGATTCCACCGTTAAATCAAGCGCAAAAACGTCATGGTGCCACGTGACGTCACAGTGTAGCATCATGTCATGGCGTCACATGAGGTCACGGCATCACATCGTCAACTAATGTTGCGGGGCACAGGTCCGCTAAATAAAAACTCTACCGTGTAACCAGGGTGCCCGGAACGCGGGTTAGTCTGGTTTGTTTAGCGTTCCGTTCCACCAGTACATCGGAAGTGGTTCCGATATGGCAACAAATGACGACACGGACGTCATGCAGTCGGATGCCGCGATCCTGGCGGTTTGTTCTAAAAGTCCCGGCATAGGTACCAGCGAACGCGAGCGTCGCTGTCGTCGAGGCGTTTCAACTTCTGGCTGCCGAAGCTCCCGTGAACTGTCAAACTGGAAAGCGACTTGCCGCAGAACAGACGTCTACTACATCGACCACCGCCACCGCGACACCGCTAGACTCCTGGCCGGCGACAACATATTTTTTTTAGAGCGCAGCTCTTAGGGGCCCGTTCCCGGCTTGAGCGGCGTCGGCGTCGGCGTCGGCATAACCGAGGTCACCCAAGGTCACGTGACCCCCAGAGGTCACGTGACACCCAAAGTCACGTGACCCCCGAGGTCAGGTGACCCCCCCCGAAGTCACGTGACACCCCTCGAGGTCACGTGACCACCCCCAGGGTCACGTGACCCCCGCCGAGGTCACGTGACCTCCTCGATGACGTCATCGTCACTGATGACGTCACCGGCATCCGCACCGTCATCGTCATAATCACTGATGACGTCATCAGTGACGTCACTGATGACCTCACCGGCATCCGCATCGTCATCGTCATCATCACTGATGACGTCATCAGAGACGTCACTGATGACGTCACCGGCATCCGCATCGTCATCGTCATCATCACGGATGACGTCATCAGTGACGTCACTAATGACGTCACCGGCATCCGCATCGTCATCATCGCTGATGACGTCATCGGAATCCGCATCGTCATCGTCACTGATGACGTCATCAGTGACGTCACTGATGACATCATCGGCATCGTCACGTGACCCCCCAAGGTCACTTCACCCCCCCCCCCCCAGTACCTTTCCCTCCTCCTCCTCAAGAGCTGCGCTCTAATTCGGTGTTAAAGGGAGTTGTAAACGGCTTTCACTTTTTTTAAATTACGAAAGGCTTTTTCAACTCTACTTCCAATCCCAACATTTTGTCCGTTCGTCCGTCCGTGCATTGTCCGCAAAATTTAGTGGGGAAAGTTGCGTCACGTGACGTTACTTAACCTCACGTGACCTATACACCTTGGAGAAATGGACGGCACGTGACCTATACGCAGACTAAGTTTCCCCGCTACATTTAGCGGGAAAATTCACGTCTTGTGGCCAAAACGTCAATTCAGCTTCCCCGCTAAATTTTAGCGAAAAATTCACGTCACGCGAACTCTGCACCAATTCAGTTATTCGCTAAATTTAGCGGGAAAATTCGAGTCTTGTGACCTAAACAGCAATCGAGTTTCACCGCTAAATTTATCATGAGAAATCGACGCCATGTGACTTGACGTCACATTACCGACAAAACCATTGAGTTTCTCCGCTAAATTTAGCTGGAAAATATACGTCAAGCGACACATCAATTAACTTCCCATTCCCCTATAACGCATTTCATGTATTATACAACTTCGAAGGTGAAGTTTGCTGCCAATTTTTTTTTTTTTATTTTATTTCAAAATATTTTTGGACTTTCGTGGGACTATGATAGGAGAGGCCAAATGCAATCTGTGGCAGTGTAAAAAGATTGTTCAAATTACAAATCACAGTAAAATTAATAACGAGACGTTCACACGAAGCAAAACGTTGCAGCAAGCAAATATGGCTCGCCGACACAAAAAGCAACAAAAAAAAAAAACTACTACTTACAAAAGATAGACGAAACTAATTACCGTCATTAGCAATCACCATTCCCAAAACACTCATATGACGTGATCAGGAGGAAATTTAAGGACCACTTTTTAGGAACGGTAAACAAACCAGTTGAAGAAGCGTTTTAGGCATCATAGTCTAACTGTGCCCAGCAGTGTGCAGAGTCTCGGCTTTCGCTGCAGTTTATTTACGGAACTCGGCAAGGAACCGGAGAATTTTTTGATGCGTTAGCATTAGAACGCTCCTTTTGACAAAAACCCGGCAGTGTCTTTTGTTTGTCAACAGCGAAAGGAGAGAGACGAGGGGGGGAGGGGGCGGGGGGAGAGAGTGTCGCGTGCGACACTCCCATTGGTCCGAAGCGCTGACGCCAGTGCGCGTCAGCCTCTCCCTCTCTCCCAGGCGCTGACAAACTGACAGACACCACCGGGTTTTCGTTCAAAAATCACTTTTGTTTTCTTCTGCGATCGAGTAAACTTGACTAGGGAGAACGCCTGGAAATGGACATTAAAGCATTAGATTCCCTAGAGTTCACTTGGAAGCTAATAATGGTGGAGCATGCTAGGGAAAAAGTGCAAAAGCAGCTTAAGTGTATATATATACCAGAAATTTGCGAGATTTGTTTTGTTTTTTTCCATCCTCAGGTGGTGAGCGATTCTCTGTCCACGTACCGGATTGAGGGTCCCGTGAACCAAGCCTACAGCGATATTCTTCTCGGTCGACTTTGTCACAAGCATTTGCGTCGTTGAAGAGTCCGCAGCGAAGTCAACATCCGCCCAACAGCATCACCACGATCTTTCATGTACATAGAGGTGACGGGTGACGCGTCTTGTCACCCGTCCAAGAAAACCTTCTTTTTAACGCATGCAGTTGCAGTCACTTGTGACGATCAGTGAAACTGTATTTGCCGCTCACTCGAAATCTCGTTGCTTTACAACACCAAAAGTGAAAAACGGTAAATCGTATAAAAACAAAAAAAAAAAACAACAACAGAAGTAATGTTTAGCTTTTAAAGCTTTCCGTATATTTTTTGATAAAGTAGGTTGGTCTTTTGTGACGTAAGTTTCTGGTCGCCACATTTCTATTTTGTTTGCCTTTTAATCACTATGAACAATTTGTAAAAACTATTGTTTATGGGGCTTTGTTTTGTTACAGCTTTGGTACTTTTATCAACACCTCCTTAAACGTTGCAGGGATTACATCTAGCGCGCTATACGGTATTCTGTAACATAAAACAAATTTGAAAATAAATAAGGAAAAAAAAAATACTTGCAAAGCATAGTTGAGAGCTCTGACCGTCAGGATCGCAGTATTACATTTATATAAACTAGCAAATATTCAAACCATCGAAGGCTGCAGCGCACAAGTTGTATCACGAGACCGCTTAGGATGGGCGATAATAGTTCGTATCCCTGCACATGCATTGGTTATACGCACGGCCTCTGCCGTGCGTATAACCACCAAATGGCTTACGCTCGCATTCACTCAAACACAAACAATTTACATTGGCGAGGGTTTATTTACTTTGAACTACAACGGTAAGCGGAGGAAGGACACTGTAAAACAATTGTCGTTATTTTGTAAGCTCGAAAACCCCCATGACGAAAGTAATCACTTCTCGTCATTCTTGTCCAGCTCGCTTGCACCTTTGCATTTAATTGCATTATAATTAAAACCCCCATGCAAAGAAGCATAAACATTATCTTGGCGCTATCGTGCGAAGTTCCAACCAAACAGCTTTTGTGTGGTTGGGACAGAGAGAACGTATCTTTATACGCCATTTAACATATGGCGCGGTTCTTCTGGGAAAGTGAGTATGAGACGTGGAATACATGTCATTATCAACATCCCCCTTTCTAAAGTGCTAATGGTGGTGATGAGATGACGCCTGTGCATGCCGGCACACTTTGTTTTCCCTCACCTTCCCCCCCAAAAGAAAACGCTCCATGTTGCGTTAAGAAAACCGTACGGAAATATCCAACGAGGCTGAGAAACGAATAGGTAAGACCGAAAGTACGCTCAGCTCGTGTATACCAGTGAAGATTGCGAAGGTATGTTGCATGAACACTTCGTCTTCCTCAGAGCGCGTTTCCCCTTGTGACTAAGTAAGAGCACACGACTACGAGTAAACCAAAGCTTTAAAAGCAAAGAACCTTGCACCTATAGGCTCTTGCACAACCAGGTAAGACACTTTTCGTTGCACTCAGCTTCGCAACCCAGACAGAAAGTACCAATCACAATGCGTTATTAAAGGGGCACGGACACCAAATTTCGGTGCTAATCTCTTTGCTTCAATATAAAGAGGGTTAAAGTAGAACCTCACGAACACTAATATTTCGTAGGAAAACACCAGAAATCATATTTTGAGCCAGACCCGTATCCAAGGGCGGGGGGGGGGGGGGGGGGGGGGGAAATAAGGCTTCCCCCCCCTTCCCGAAATTTTCCAGTTTGCTGGCTCCTTTTCTTCACCTTTTGCTGGGGCCTCCTCCTCTCCCTATTTTGCTGGGGCCTCCTCTCATACAGCATTTTATCATGAACGTCCCCCCCCCCCCCCCCCCCCCAATCAAAACCCTGGCTACGTTCCTGCTTTAAACTGAATTAAACGCTAACCAAAAACCACCTCGTGAATATTTGTGAAGCGTCGATGGAATGTCGTGACGACATCAGGTCAGTAAGAGCAGCGCCCCAACGGGAAGTAAGCTCACTTATAGAAATTAGTTAGGCCTGAACGTAGTACCGAGGCGCTTTGGTGAACAAAGTCACAGCTGAGATGACCACCATTAGTTTCTGTTTCGGGTGGTTTTTCCCGCAACGCTTGTCTGAGGAGGTTTGGGAATTGTGTTCGTGCGATGTAATACCGACGCTACAGAATGTAAATTTAAACGGGCCCGAAGGCCCAACTCTTCCCATGAGGGGATTGCCACCTTGGTCGACTGCTACGAGCTTGATCGCTACGAAGTCAAGCTCTGCAAAGCGGCTTTGCAAAGTAGCTCTGCAAAGCACAGCTCTAGAAAGCGGCTCAGATCTAAACAAATCGCTGTGGCGTTTTTCAAAGCTTCGGGGACGCGGAAGGGAGCCAACGTCCTGGAAGATACGTTTGAACTACAAGAATGCCAGCAACAGCCGCGTAAATACATGTTCACACCGGGAGCGGAACCGCGTTTTTGATAACCGCTTTGGGAACTATCTTTTGCAACCGATTTTATGAACCGCTGGGCCGCTAGACAATCGCAACTCGATGCTGACGTGACGCTTGGCAGAGGAAGATTCGACCGGCATTAAGTAGCACACAAAAATTCCCCTAACTTGACATATGTTTGCGTACCGTAATGTCGGCCATAAAAAGGACATACTAAAAAAAGTTTACGCCCCCATGTTGCGAAGGCACCGACACCATTGTCGTTTCGTGTATGCTCTTTTTGGTCGTACCCGCTTTCTGAGCTGTTTTCCCCAACATGTATTGCGAAGGCAAATCATATGCCGTTTATCTGAGCACTATAAGACTATAACACACGAAAAAAAGAGATATAATAGATTAGTGTTCCTTTTCGACGAGAGCGTTCGCCACCGCTGCATCTCAAAATAAGGGCACGAACAGGGGGAAGACTAGCATTCTCCTGAAAATAGAGTTCAGGGTTCAAAGTATACGGGAAGGGTCCACAAGGACGCGTAGGCATATACCATTCAGCAAGCCAGCCAGCCGGTCATGAGCAGATGGTCTTGGCCAGGGTCGTCGGAGCAACGTTGCGTCAGAGTGTCTCGCTACTAGCTAGGCCTAGCGTTCCTAGCTATACTTTGTTTCAGCTTAAGTCCAGAAGCAGCCGACGCTACGAGCTAATGGGGCCAATAAAGTATCGAAAGCGCAAGTAACTTGGCAATTTCTATTTATGACTTGTTCAGAGATGATAGGACACGTACAAAAACATGACGAACACCCTGATGGTGTCCTTTTGACGCTGTCTGATAGTCCTTGGCGATCGCTTTGTCGTTGGGATCGTTGTCGTTTTAGCTTTTACGGATATCCATGTTTCCAGCGTTTGCCTCCGCAGCGCTCAGTTTCAAGTACTTTTTTTTCTTCTTTTCTCTTGTTGATTGGAGTCGGTACGCGCGCGGAGAGTACGTAGAAATGCCCGTTGGAACGTAAGCGAGCGATGTCGTCGGCCGTCTGGATTTGATCGTAAAAAGTGCGTACACCTCATGGAGCTGTCGTAGGGTTTCATCGTAAATTAAGCAAAACTTACGATAATCTCGCTTCGTGAATACGGATTTGTGCTTAAATCTTCTCATGCGCATCTTTCTTTTTTTTTTTTTTTTTTTGTAAGATCGTTTCATGAATAAGCTCCGCCACCTGTTGCGGACGACGAAGACAAGGCAGAGGAGTCGTACAAATACGGGTCCAGGCCGAATATCTTCTCGGTCATCATGGCCACTGGTGATGTGGCGGCGTATTCGTCCTCATTAAAGTAGCCATGAAACGTTTTTTTACTTTCGTTAAAATCTACTTAGGATCACTCCCTAATGTTAATAACTAAATATACTTGCCTTAGATATTTTTTTTTCTAAGCAATGGCAGTCGCCGAAAAAATTCGAGAAATATGAGCATGGTTCATCTTTTCAACTCGGAGCGAGAACAAGAGGCCACGTGGCCCGGTGCCTATTCTACGCCGCCAAGGTTAATCATAGCCACCCGCCGGGGTCGGTAAAGTAGAAAACGCGCGCTGAGCTCCATGGCGTTGTTAGAGTTCACTTCTTCTCATCACCGCAGAGGTTGGACACGAGCCACTATCCGAGTGTCCGCCGAGGCACGAGCCGAAGTCGGGTGCTCACGCAGTTCTCGTGCCCAATTCACGAGCCGCGATCAACTGTAGTCACGCCCGAAACATCGTGTATACCTCCTTGTCCGCGAATTTTTTCGAGAAGCACAACCTTATTACTTGCGATTACGTGTTTTCGACCCCACAATTACGTCATCAAGCTTTACGAAGGCAAGACTGAAAGAAATAGTCCCCTTTTATCCTCGCAATTTCACCGCGACAATGAAGCTTCTGAATCAGTGGCGGTCTGTGCGAGTATACTTCGGCCAGACCTGAACCAGTACGCCTCTGCAACGTCATGAACATACCAATCCGATACCGTTGCATGACCCCTTTAATGCCATCATACCCACCGCTCTCATCGCGTTGGTCGGCCATCACACTCACGACACCGCGGCTTCGCGACGTGCTACGTACAGTCTTCGGGTACTTCGACTGGCGAGATTGCAACGTGGTGGCGGCTCCAAGTGGCAAAGCTTATAACTACGATATGCTTAGCTCTGCGTGACCTGATGACGTCAAGGCCACGTCGGATCTCCAAACATTTAGAACGAAAAATACAGCCATCCGCTTGAAATACAAGCACACGATTATCAATTACAAGCTTAGCTGGCTCGTTTCGACTTGTTTCTTTGTTTTCTGTGTCTTTGAAGTTTAAAAGGAAAAAAAAATATTTATTTCTTTTAGTCTGGTTGGGAAACGCGTGTCAAACAATAAATATTAGGCGACCAAAAAAAAAATATGTTCAGAGCAATATTGACGGCGCGTGAGGCGATTTAGTCGGTAGTCACCTCCTCTCCACTTGTTTTCTCTATTGGCATTTCGGACACGTGGAGGAGAGGTGGATCGGCTCGGCCATCACGTGGAGGTGGGAAGAGTGTTATGACCATTCCGTGATGTCATGGACTTTGCACGCAGAATTTGAAATAAATCTCGCGCCGTCAATATTAATCTAATTCTTTTTTTTTTTTTGCGTAAAAATTGATTTTGTGACATGCGTGTCCCTACGAGACTGTTAAAAAATTTTTCTCTTCAGTGGCTTTTTAAAAATGAAACTGCACCTTCGTTATTCTGAACCAAGAGATGATGTTCGGATAGCTATCCAAAT